GAAGTCGTTACATTTCAAAAATTACTTTCAATATTATAGTAATTAAATCTTATGTGCAATGTTTTAATAAAAAATTGAATTTAAAATTTAAAGTTTTGTAATACAGGTTTTTATTTTATATGTATATTATATTTTCACAAATATGTATTAAATATCCTATACTAAAATGAATATATCAAATTGTTTTTTCACTGTTTTATCAAATAATAGGTACAGAATCTTGAACATAAAATATTTATGAGTCATCTATTCCTTATGGCTATCTTGTCTTAAACATTTAGGTAATGCTCATGTTTTATTATTTTTGTAATAAATAATTTCACTGAAGTATTTTTCTTTTAACTCTGATAATATTATGTACTGTAGGCTTCAGTGACGTAATGTGCCAAACGCTATTAAGAAATAACAATAAGAAATATATTTTTTTTGCATTTTAGAAAAGTATGGCCATCTTATCCAAGTTTACCCTATACAAATCAAGAAAAAAAAAAAAAATATATATATATATATATATATATATATATATAGTCTATCATTTATATATTATATATACACACACACACACACATATACATATATACATACATACATACAGGGTGGGCCATTTTATTCAATACACGCAAAAATCTCAAAAAGAAGAAATTTTTTCAAAAAATGTTTCAGACAAAAGTTATATGGATCGATGGGGGACATAAGAAAATACCATTGATTTGACCTTGCGTGGCCCCGCCAAGGTCAGGTCGAGGTCAACTTTGCTTTTTTAAGTAGAAATATACATTTTTTATTACGGAACTTTATTCTACGTAAAGAAGCAAACAACTTTTGTTTGAAGACATTTTTTATCCGACTTTTATTTTCTAAGATATTTACGGAAATATCTACAAAATTACTAGTTTCAATAATTTTTTCCTCGAATTCTATTAACTTAACTGAAAAATAACAAGAAACATTCTATTAACTTAACTGAAAAATAACAATTGTCTATTTTCTTCTCATAGAGCTCTGAGATTTTTTTCGGAATTTTTGATTAATTTTTTAGTACTGCATTTCCTTTCTTTTCTTGAAATACTAAAAAGTTAATCAAAAATTCTGAAAAAATTCTCATAGAGCTCTGAGATTTTTTTCGGAATTTTTGATTAATTTTTTAGTACTGCATTTCCTTTCTTTTCTTGAAATACTAAAAAGTTAATCAAAAATTCTGAAAAAATTCTCATAGAGCTCTGAGATTTTTTTCGGAATTTTTGATTAATTTTTTAGTACTGCATTTCCTTTCTTTTCTTGAAATACTAAAAAGTTAATCAAAAATTCTGAAAAAATTCTCATAGAGCTCTGAGATTTTTTTCAGAATTTTTGATTAACTTTTTAGTATTTCAAGAAAAGAAAGGAAATGCAGTACTAAAAAATTAATCAAAAATTCCGAAAAAAATCTCAGAGCTCTATGAGAAGAAAATAGACAATTTTTATTTCTTGCTATTTTTCAGTAAAGTTAATAGAATTCGAGGAAAAAATTATTGAAATTAGTAATTTTGTAGATATTTCCGTAAATATCTTAGAAAATAAAGATCGGATAAAAAATGTTTTCAAACAAAAGTTGTTTGCTTCTTTACGTAGAATAAAGTTCCGTAATAAAAAAATCTATATTTCTATTTAAAAAAGCAAAGTTGACCTCGACCTGACCTTAACGGGGCCACGTAAGGTGAAATCAATGCTACCTTCTTATGTCCCCCATCCACCCATATAACTTTTGTCTGAAACATTTTTTGAAAAAATTTCTCCTTTTGACATTTTTACGTGTATTGAATAAAATGGCCCACCCTGTGTGTGTGTATATATACATATATATACATATATATATATATATATATGTGTGTGTGTGTGTGTGTGTGTGTGTGTATGTATGTATGTATGTATATATGTATATGTATATATATATATATATTTTTTTTTTTCTTTTCTAAACATATTAATAAACAAAGTTTCAACCAGAATTGGAACTTGATTCACAGTTTGTATAATTACCTTACTCACTTGCTGATGAACCATCATATGTCTTTGCAAATTGTTCAAGCGGTTGAACTCGCGACCGCATACCTCGCAATCAAATTTCTTGTCGGGATCGTGATATTTCTTGTGCATGCTCAGATCGGTCACATGCGTAAACGTTTTTTGGCATATATCGCATGTATGTATGCGTTGTTCGTTGGGCATATGCGACTCTTCATGCTTCGTTAAACTGGCTTTCTCCATGAATCGACGGCCACAATAAATGCAAGGAAGTGGTCGCGACTGCGAATTGTGAAGATTCAAATGACGACGTAGTGCCGTGGATGTGGGAAAGTTTTTATGACATTCCAAGCATTGGAACGGTCGATCGCCAGTGTGAGTTTTCCTATGGCGAGCTAGAGAAGTCTGATCTGGATATCTGTACGAATAATAAATATATTAATCTTTATATTTTACAATTATAGAATCTATATTTTACATTATAGAATGAAATATTATTGAAGCATTTTTGCGACTTATAGCAATAAATTTCTGTTGTGGAAAATCAAATTATTAGAAAAATTAAAATAAAGTACATATAAGAAATGTCTATGAAAAAAACGAGAGTCAACACAATAAATATGGGCTGAGAAATCATGCACAAATTACAAATATCAAATAATAATAGATAAAATGATGAACAAGAATATTAATGAAAAACAATACTAACTTACCTTTTAGGACATAAATCGCAGGGAAAGCTTCTTGTAGTTATATCCTCTTCTCGAGCATGTTTCAGCCGATTATGCCTAAGTAACTGAAAAGATGTTTTGAAACTCTTATTACAGATGTCGCACTTCAAATTGTCTGTTGTTGGTATAATGACTTGTGTTCTCTTTTGTCCATTCTCATCCTCTGATATTATCAATGATATAGTAACAGTATTATTGTCCTCATTATCGATATCCTGTAACGGCGATGTTGCTACCGCAGAACTAGACATCTGAAAAAATCGCAAATATATTAGAGTACTATATCAAGTCTTCAATATATCAGACTTATTTATGCGCAATAATACCTGTTTACTAGAAGATTTCGCGTCTAAATCCGGCAAAATGAAGGGATGTTCATCTTCCGTTGACTTATTATTTGCCTGAAACCTCGATTCCTTATTGGTTACTTGATCGTCGTTGCTTTCTGCGATTGCATAATTTCCATCGTCAGTCAGATACACCGGTTGCAAAGCTCCGCTATCGTCCTTGAAATATAACTGTCCGTCTTCGTCTTCGTGTAGAAATATCTGATCCTAAAATTATGAGACATGCGTGATACATTCCCTGTTAAAGTTCAGAAATATATTAGCTTTTTTATCGTAGCATCTCATACTTGAGAATTTTCTTCTTGGTTTTCAGTGGATTCGTTATTCGAGGCATCCCACATCTGCTCATCTTGTTCAATCGCGGCGTTATCATATGTATATTGCTCGTTATCGTCAATCGCTTGTGCTACATATAGCGTCTCCATGTTATCTCCTTCATAATAAATAGTACCTTCAACTGGTATGGTATTTTCATCAAGTCGTTCCATCTGAAACAACACAAAGAGCTTGATAAGGTAATTATAGTTAAGTACAGTGGTCATATTTTTAGCGGAGCCAGTCATAAATTTACTATTTATCGAACAAAATTACGTTTCTATATATTTATTTCATTATTTTCATTATTTATTTCATTATGTTAATTTGAAATAAAGTCAAGATAAACATATATACATGATGTTACAAATACGAAATCATTATTTTTAATTTTTCTGTTAGTGAATTATTTGTGTGTATTGGTTAATCTAATAGAGATGCATAAATAATAGAAAGAGATACATAAATGTTTTTAAAAAATGTGTCTATGTATTTTGAATATTGTTATAAATGATGAACTTAGTTTCTGAAATCATAGAAATTTTTCATTAAAATTTCAAATGTAATTTATACAGGATTAGATAAGTTAATTTTCAACTAAATTAAACTAATTAAAATTATATAAATAAAAGCTAGTTTATAATTCAAAGTTAACTTAAAATTGAATTAAATTATTAAAGTTAAGTGTTAATTATGCAAAGTAATGTATGTTTTTCATATAATTAACTTCTTAATCATAGATTAAATTTATGTGAAATACTAAAAAGTAGGTTTTTTACAAGAAAATATTGTTTTGTGCTCAGAATTCTATCCAAGTTAAGAATATTGGCATTTAAGGAAATAAAAAATTGTTGGTATTATTTTTGAGCTTTCTTATTCTGCATTGTAAACAGCTGATTTTAATATTCATGAATTATTTTAACTTATAAAAAAGTTAATAAATTAAAATTAATGTATTTTAAAATAAGTATTTTAAGTTAGTTTAAGTTGACTCATTTAAAATTAACTAAGTTAAAAGTTAAATTACTTAAAATTTTGTTGGATAATGAAGTAGTTATTACCCAATTCTGAGTTTAGAAAAGATTAAAAAGAAAAATTAAAAATTTCAAGCAACACATGGAAAGTGTCAACTTTAGTTGCAAATATCTCAGAGGAAATATCTTCTTAAATCATCCATTTTTCCTAATTGTATAAGCAGTTAGATATTTCAGTATATATAGGGTGTTCGAAACTTTTATTGATACAATTTGTGGGAAAGTAGAATGAATTAAACAGAACAGAAAAGTCAAATACCATTTTGCGAAATTCGCAAGTTTTCGAGTAATTATTTTGTCTGAAGAAATTAGCGCTCGGGCTGACGCGTGACCATGATACACGCGAATCGCGGCTCGCTGTGCCCATAGCTACGCTATGTCTCGTAACTATGGTAACTATGACAAGAAAGGTTTCAGACACCCTATATAGTGCAAGTTACATGGAATTTTCATGAAATTCATTTTATGATGTAATTATCCTAATGATAAAACATTGCCAATATTTCATGATATGTCAAGTATACCAACTTTGATATATTGTGAGTCGTTGAACTTTTCCTGCTGCTTTGCAGAGGAATCTTGCTTCTTAGTCCCCAGCACTGTATACAACAGATTGTTCTCTGTATTCTTTACTATCTCGTGATTATCACTATCGTCTTCCACATTATGTACATTACTACCAATACTGCCACTGTCTATTCTAGATTTATCAGACCTTGTCATGGAATCCATGTGACTCCTCATATCCAATCTATTTGACTGCAGTGACATAGAGACATTTTGATTATTTACTGACTTATTATTTTTGGAAATACTCTGTGACTGCACTTCAGTCACAGACTGTCCAATATTATCCAACTCCTCCATACGGTCTAGCTCCTCATCTTGCCAGTCCTCATCTACATCATAATTAATAACTTGCTTCTTGCTATTGTTCTTCTGTATATTACTTGTGCGTTTAGTGGTCTCTTCCTTTCTAGATAGCGAAGTAAACATTGAATTCTCTTCTTCAAAACCAAAGATCTCGATTTTCTTGCCAGTTGTCTCATTATTTGTTTTGTCCCTCACAACCACTTCATTCTTCTCTGTATTTGACAGAGTCTTATCCTTGTTTTTTGACAAGGATATTTCATCATCTGAAAAATTTTCGTCATCTTCTACAATTTCCTCGATTATCTCAATGATCTCCTCTATTTCTTCTGTATCCTCTGTTGCTTCAGATTCCACTATAATGTCCTGCTCTGCGACATCATCCTTTAGTACCTCTATGACGTTCTTGTTACCCATAATATCCAGGGTCTCTAATATTTCCGAGGAAATATCCATTTTTTAAGCGACGTGCACCTTTACAGATACCTGAAATGTAAATACAAATCGTCAAATAACGAAGCACGACCAAACCTCGTTAATATCTGCACACAAGCAGCGGATCAATGAGCGTCGCGATTGAAATGGAATAATACAATACGAGAAGAACCGATGGATTTGTTATCGTGTGCTATACCATACATTTGCGCGCTACTTGCTGACCGATGCTAAATATCGCACAGGTGAGCCGCACGCGTTTTACATTGACGGATATCACACACGAAGACACCGTCTCGCTACTTGAAGCCATACACCACGACCGGTGAAAGATAGAGATACGAACTACACGAAGAGAGAAAGAGAGAGGAAAGAAAAAGAAAGCGTTATTTAATAGAGAACATGAAAAGAAACGTATAGATAGGCAAAGTACTTCTCAGAGAAGAAGTAACGAGATTACGAGTGCGTTCCCGCAATTTCTAGTGCATAGTGTCGAAATATGGGCGACGTCGGCTGTCATGGGTAAGCATGCACTCGGCTACGATTGTGCTCATTTCCGCCACGAAATCTCGTTTATGGGCTGCGCTTGCTTATATCAAAGCGTACCAAAACGTAAGAAATTGCATTTTGACACCTTTGCACAACGTAACAATTCTCGCGCGCGGCAAACTCACCGGTCGGTACGAAAATCTCGTGAATTTATCAACGGATAGCAAAATGGCCAACGGGGGGCGAGTAGAGTTATCGTCACGCGGAACACAACGCGTCGCGAACAAGGGAGCGGGGAAAACGCGCGCGGGGGGGCAGACGCACGTACGGTATCAATTATTGTTGATCGATCGTAGTACCCGCCGCTCGTTCGTTGCAACGATGCAAATGGCGCACTGTAGCGATGAGAAAGCTTGTCAGTGCTCGGTCGATACGCCACCGTCTCGGATTTCCTCTCGACGTTTTCTTACGTCGTTCGGCTGAGTGACGCCAGGCCCCACTCTTGAAAATGAAATTGATCTTTCCGTTGGTCGTCCGCGAATGAGAAATGACGGACGCTAGGAATAACGCGAGTTTCGCACGACAGCCAATCAACAATCCACTTGGCTGGACGCTAGGGATATGCGGCGAGATGCGATTGGTTGTCGCGTCGCTTTTCTCACGTGTCTAGTATGTCGTCATTACATCTCACAGCCGGAAGCACAAGGGTTGCGTTTTTTTATTTACAATAGATGTAGCAATAGATGCATCTCGTAGATGCATCAAGAGGCGCGTTCCGTTACACGTTCGCAATGCTCGCGAACGTCATTCTATCTTTATTTAATAGCAAATTTGGTAGCTTGTGTCACGCCCGACTAACCGAGTGAACTAATATTTTCGCGCTTTGTTTAACCTCACGGTAACTGGAACCTGTTCTCCCCCACTCTGGGGTCTCTATTAGATTAGACTACATTTTCCCAAAAAGTGGAGGGGATAGTATTGGTACGAACGAAAATCTCTAGACGATACAATTTTAATTTCTGTATATTAGTAACACTGTTTAAGTAGTGAGTCTGTTATAGCGAATTCGGTTGCTTGCACTAGTGTGCACTGAGTGCGCACTAAGGCTTGTTCATAGTATGTTATTATATTTAAAGATTGTCTTAAATAATTCTCAAATAAATTCTCAAATATTTTTAACCATAATATGATATGTATAACATCCGTACGAATCATTTTATTAGTTAAAATGTTTTTAAATATGTATTTAAGACACGATCTTAAATATAAGAATGTACTGTAAACAAGCCTTAATGCGCACTCAGTGCGCACTAGTAGCGCATCTCGCCGCATATCCCTAGCGTCCAGCCAAGTGGATTGTTGATTGGCTGTCGTGCGAAACTCGCGTTATTCCTAGCGTCCGTCATTTCTCATTCGCGGACGACCAACGGAAAGATCAATTTCATTTTCAAGAGTGGGGCCTGGCGTCACTCAGCCGAACGACGTAAGAAAACGTCGAGAGGAAATCCGAGACGGTGGCGTATCGACCGAGCACTGACAAGCTTTCTCATCGCTACAGTGCGCCATTTGCATCGTTGCAACGAACGAGCGGCGGGTACTACGATCGATCAACAATAATTGATACCGTACGTGCGTCTGCAAGCTACTGAATTCGCTATTAGTTTGCGAAACCTTTTAGCTAGATATGGGAGAATATAAACAGTAAATATCGAAGAATTGTAATTCTTCATAAATATTAATATAAAATACATAATGGGGCATAAAATAAAAATAAAAAAATATTAAAATGACGCAAATAAATGGAAACATAGAGTACATGGAGATAAACGAGATAAAAAAATAATTATACGAATGTGTGAATATACAGGGTGAGTCATTTTTATCGAACCAGGCAAATATCTCGAAAAATATGGAAGATACGGAAAAATATTTCAAACAAAAGTTATATCGTTCGGAAAGGGACATAAAATAGTGCAATTGGCTTGACCCTGGATAGTCGTTTGAAAATCACGTCCCAGATAGCATAGAGATGAACAGAAATTCCTAGAGAATTCATTTTAAAGAATAGATATAGAATTAGAAAAATGAATACCCGAAGAATTCTTGAAGAATTAACCACAGTAAGTTCGTCTTGAAATATTCCTTTATTATAGCGAATACTTTGCAACTTAATTCCTAAAACACTTTGAGAATTCATTAGGAATTAGGGCTAAGGCAGAGAACGAGATGTAAGCGTCGTAGACATAAAGTAAGGCAGAGAAAAACGTAAGCGTAAGATTAATAGCCTTTCATGATTTACGTTTATGTTTTTCTTTACTTTATTTTATATCTACGACTATGACGCTTATGTCTCGTTCATCTGCCTTAGCCCTTACAAATATTTTGTTTATAGCAATTACTTTTTGCGCCTATATTCAGTACATGTCAGTGAGTGTATAATAATTAATTTACATATTTACATATAAATTGTTTAATTTATTGTTATTCGCAGCTATTTATATTTTGTGGAATTAATTATATAGTTTTATATAATAGGGCAAAGAGAAGGAATTGGTGTTAAAATAACTTTTGATGTATAAAATTTTCACTTGTATCAATAATAAATATATTTATGCGAAGTATATTTTATCCTTAAGTTTGTATTCATGTTTCTAAAATCCATATATAGTTCTAACAAACTCAATCGCATTATTTGAAAGCCATTTATTTTTGGATTTTGAATTACATATTTGAAAGTGCGCTTTATTTACATTTGAAGCTCAGTTAGAACAGTATATATAACAGTATAACAGTTATAACAGTTATAACAATATAGTATCCAGCGAAAAATGATTCGTTGATTGACGTCAAAATGACATCAAATAGACGTTGAAATCGTCAAACCGACGTCAATTTGATATCATTTTGATGTCAATCAACGAATCATTTTTCACTAGGTATATAGATGTCACAAACATGAAGTCTTAAATAGTTCAGTAGAAAGAGCGGTTGTCTGGCAAGCGGAAGACCCGAGTTCGATCCTAGCCGAGTCTGATGTTTTTCATCTCATATGGCATTAAAAGTGGACATCTACAGATACACACAAGAGCAGTAGTACTTCCGACCAAAGTTTCTGATCTTTCTTTCGTGTGGGTACAATAAAATTTATTAAATCCGAAAAAATCTTTTTGAGTTGAAGTAATTTTATATGAATACTCTAAGAAATTCTGAGGAACTCCAATCATGGTGCATGTAACTTCCTAAATCATTCTTACAGTATTCTTCCACGAATTCCTAAGGAAGTACAATTCAGGAAAGGAGAAAACTTTAGGAACACTTAAAGAATTCATCGTGCTATCTGGGGTGAAGGTCACCTTCAATTTCTTAAATAAAAACCTCTATTTTTCATTGCATATTCTTGAGCTTACCTCGAGAGATTTCCAAAACACTATAATAAAATATTTTTTTCATTAAGCATCTTTCGAGTTAAAAGGCTTCAAAGTTACAATATTGTTGTCATTAGGATTGGTATCCAAGGTGTTAGTCCGACAGCTGAAACTTGAATGTTGTTCGGGGCCATGATCTTGACAACATTTGTCAAGGACAGGGCGATTAGAGGCTGTTCCTAATATTTTCATTTTTTCAAATGTTACAGTGAAAACAAAAATAATTTAAAATCATGGGGTAACATGTGGAGTCCGATTGACTCTAAA